ATTGTAATGTTAAAGTATAGAAGGAGAGAAAGAGAGAAAGGGGAAATAGGGGACTGGCTATGGATGTACCAAAATGGCCGACCGGTGGTTGGCCATTTTTATCTTGAGAAGAAGATAAAAGAGAGAAAAAAAAAAGAAAGAAAAAAATATCTCACCTATAAGAATCCTTCATTCACGTCGATCTTTTCATTAAAAAGAAAAATTAAAAGAAAAGAAAAGAAAATATATATATATATATATATATATGTATAAACACATACAAAAATACGTATGTATATACATATATATATATATGCGCATACAGAATGTTAGCGACGATCTCGAAGTATCCTGACGAAAAACGATATTTTTTTCTCTCGATATATCGATTACGAAACTGTATATATATATATATATATATATATATATATATATATACATTGTCTCATGATTATGATTATACTATTTTGTAAATCTATCGATAGCCTTCGATTACTTCGTTTACGATTACTTCGACTACTACGTTTTAAAATGAGTAAAAGGTGAAAAACCCAATGAGAATCGTGATATATATACATATATACATACATACAAGGCATACATACGTATGTATATACATAATAAACTTGTTTGGCGTTCGGTCAAACTCGTGAGAATTTCACGGACTTTACCGACTTCCTCCTTTATCAGCTGTTTACTGTGTTTACACCGTATGCTTTCACGCATATAAAACTCTCTCTTTCTCTCTCTCTCTCTCTCTCTCTCTCTCTCTCTCTCTCTCTCTCTCTCTCTCTCTCCTTCTCTTAGATATATACCAAATGTACACGCGCATGCACACGCGCACATATACATAGGACACGTAGACGCACGCACGCACGCACGCACACCCACAAATTTATCCTTTTTTCCTTTTTCTATTTCTCTTAAAAAACAGACGGATAGACGCATACATGGATAATCTTTTTCATATTATAATTTCATTCTTAAACGAAATGAAATCCTCTTAAACGAACTTTGTTGGTGGTATATAACGATGAAGATCCGATGCACGCGGTATGTACGTTGTTGATATGTACTGCTGACATAACGGTTCTGCGTTCTGAGTTCTCTCATCGTGAAAGAAAGAAAAAAGAAAGAAAGAAAGAGAGAGAGAGAGAGAGAGAGAGAGAGAGAGAGAGAGAGAGAGAGGGATAGAGAAAGATAGACAGATAGATAAAGATAGGATGCGAGAGAAATGACAAAAACGTGTGCGCGACCGCGAGTCACCGCTTGCAACCTCTCCTTACCACCCCTCCTTTCCTCCCCCACTCTTCTTTCCTTACTCTCCCTCTATCCCTCCTCCCGCTCCCCCTTATCATCCTCATCTACCTATTCCTCCTCCTACTCCTTCTATATTCTGTTTCTTCGACATCAAAGCAAAAACCATTTGGATTCCTTGTTCCCTCCCGAATCTTTCGCTTACCGATCCTCTATGTAGTAGTATTTATTCATTATGGTGAATTATAAAATTGTAAAGACAACTCGGATAAATCTTCAAAAATTTCAAAAACAGATATAGAAGTATAGAGAGAGAGAGAGATAGAGAGAGAGAGAGAGAGAGGGGGAGGGAAGGAGGGGAATCAAAATCGAAAGGTTATCAAATTTCTCAAAGAATATTTCTCTGAAATGTAAGAGATTATATCGCATATTTGTATAAAGCATTATTGCAACGAATGTACGAGCAAGAGAAAGAGAAAGAAAAAAGAGACAGAAAGAAAGAGAAAGAGCGAGAGAGAGAGAGAGAGAGAGACAGAGAGAGAAAGAAATTTAAGAGTGGAAATGGTATAAAAACATTTTATTACACTCGCAAGTCCGATTTCAAATCGCGTGTCCCGTCTTCCCCTTCTCTCTCCGCTCCCCCTATCCACCTCCTGTTCCTACGAATCGTTCGTTCTCTCTTCCTTTTTTTTTTCCTTTCTTTTCTTTTTTTTTTCTTTTGCCTTTTTTTCTTCTTTTTCCTCCCGCTCTTTCCTTTTTTTCTTTTTTTTTTTTTTTGTTCCACCATGTTTTCAATCTAAACAAGGCAGCAAGCAACCAAGTGTGTATGTAAGAGAAAAAGAGGGAGAGAGAGTGAGTGAGTGAGTGAGTGAGTGAGTGAGTGAGTGAGTGAGTAAGACAGACGATAACAACAGATTTATCGTGTTCGGTTGAAGATAATGCTCGATGCACACAAGAGAGCGCAGTGTTCTCTCTCTCTCTCTCTCTCTCTCTCTCTCTCTCTCGCTCTGTCTCTTTCTCTCTCATTGGCACTCGTTGCATCTCCCCACCAACATCCTCTCACTCTTTCTCTCTCTTTCTCGCTCACTCAGTCAGTCAAGTTACTCACTCACTCACTCACACTTACACGGCGTACCAAGTCTCGTTTTCCAACAACGCGCGTACAGCAGCAGCAGCAGCAGCAGCAGCGGTAGCAGCAGCAGTAGTTGCAGGAGTTGCAGCAGCAGTTGCAGTTGCAGTGACAGCAGCAACAGACGAGAAACGTGGCACGCGCGGTTCGCGTTGAGAATCTTTTCGAGATTTCGAGATTTCGAAACGTCGATGACAACACAGAGAAATGGAAATGTTTTTCTTCTTATATTTTTTCTTTTTCTCTTTTACTCCTTTCCTTCCTTTTTTTCTTTTTTCTCTTTTCGTTCCTTTTCGATCGCTCGTTCGTCCGTTCGTTTCGATCTTAAAGACTTAATTTAGTCTAATCGATATCGTATCGAATTCAAAAGACTTCGATGATTTTAAACCGCACATCGTGTAAAAAATGCATAAAAGAATTATTCTTTCACGAGATATTAATCAATCCGTGTAGTACGCGATCGGTTGATCAGATTAATCGATCGATCGATCGATCGATCGAATTTCGATCGATCGATCCATCCATCCATCCATCCATCCGAAATATATCATTCGGATTTTTAACTAAGTCGATCTTTTTTAATTGTACGAAATGTTCAAATATTATCTTCTCCAATTATTCAAACTTTCGACAAGGATCTTAATACGTCGATCACTTATATATGTTAAACTTTGTTTATTTGTTTATTTATTTATTTATTTATTTATTTATTTATTTAGTGTCGGTCATCGTACGGTCTCTTCAATCCTCGGATTAATCTTCGATGAGAAATATGATATAACACTTGTGAAATATTTCACAATCGACGATTAAAGTACCACTAGTTTTTTTCTTTTTTTTTTTTTCTTTCTTTTTTTCTTCTTTCGACCTTTATTATTTATTTCTATTATTTGAATGGATCTGATCTGTCACAGGATAAAATTATAATTATTTATTAAAATAATATAACTCTTCACGTAATTAGAAATTCACGATCGAAATAAGATTCAACATTCGCGACGTTCCACTCATTCACACTTATCACTGATAAAATCCTTCTAAAAAAAAAAAAAAATTCACCGTAATCCGACTGTTTCGAAAGAAGGGACGAAAAAAGAAGGAATGAATAGAAAGGAAGGAAGAAAAGAAAAAAAAAAAAAAAAAAAAAAGAAGAAAGGAAAAAAAACGCGCACGCACATATCAGCGCGCGCACGCATATACGAGACAGTAAAACAGAAGATATAATATATATGTTATACATATATATATATATAAATATATTTGATCGGAGATAACAAAAAAAAAAAAAATGAAAAAGAAAGATGGAAAGAACGTAAAAGAAAAAAAAAAAGAAAAGAAAAATGTGCGCGCTGTTGTTCTATCGCGCAAACTCGAAAAGGGGGTTGAGAGAGAGAGAGAGAGAGAGAGAGAGGCAACCAGGGTACGGAAAAGAAGATAAACTGAGAAAGAAACAAAACATGAACAAAAAAAACGAAAGAAAAAAACAGAGAATAAAAAACAAAAACGAACGAACAAATAAAAAAAAAAAAAAAAAAAGAAAAAATGTCATCAAAAGAAAAAAAAAGAAAATAATAAGAAAAACAAAAAAAGGACAAATGTCGTACGAACAAAAAGACGAGCAAAGAAAGAAAAAAAAAAAAAAAAAAGAAAAACAGGCAAGAATACGAATGACTAAAAAAAATAAAAAAGAGAAAAAACTAACCGCTTAATATTACGCACCGAAGTAAAATAAGGATATCTCTCGTCGTGGACGGGGCCCCGCGGTGTTGAAGAGAAAAAGAAGAAAGAGAATAGAACAATGAAAAAAGAAAAAGAAAAAACAAGGGGGAAAAAAAGAAGAAACAACGATGACAATGACGACGACGACGACGACGACGACGACGACGACGACGATAACGATAACGATAACAACAACAATAACAACAATAATAATAATAAAATAAGAACAACGTCAAAGTGATCGTCGTGCCGCGATGATCGTCCTCTTCCTCTCGATCACGAGGATCGGCGTCCTCGATCAAATTCGTACGGAGTCTCGGTATCCTCCCGTAGTATTACTACTACTCGATGCACAACACGCGGCTGCGGACACCCGTCGCGGAAATTAAGGAGTCACGTTATAAAACGCAACGACCTACAATGCTACAAATGCTACGGAACCGGCGCGCCTCTCTCTCTCTCTTTCTCTCTCTCTCTCTCTCTCTCGCTCGCTCTTTCACTCGGTCTATCTATCCATCTCTCTTTCTCCCTCTTTCTCAACCCCCCTTTACGGCTGGCTTCCGCCCCTCCTACCCCCTCGACGGATCGCCGCCGCCGTTGCTGCCGCCGCCGCCGCCGCCACCACCGCCACCACCACCGCCACCGCCACTGCCGCCGCCACCGCCGCCGCCGCCGCCACCGCCGCTTGCTGCCTCCTTTTCCTCCGTTTTCTTTCTCTCTCTCTCTCTCTCTCTCTCTCACTCTCTGTTTCTTTCTCGCTCGTTTGCTCTCTCTCTCTCTCTCTCTCTTTCTCTACGTGTGACCACGTCCATGTATACGTATCCCTCCTCCTTTTGGCTTTTTCCTCCCCTTGATAGCCCCTTCTTAGGCCGACGGCCTCCCCTCTCCTCTATATCGGCCCGTACCAACAACCCCACTTCTCTTCTACTACCCTCCTTCCCCCACCCCAGCCCATCTCGTCCCGTCCCGTCCCATCCCATCACCCCGAAACCCCTCTCTACCTTCTCTCTCTCTCACTCTCTTTCTCTCTCTCTTTATAACCGTCACCCTTCTCTCTAGTACGGCACTGTGCACCAACAGGAACGTATCAAGATGCAAGATCTGATCCTCGCGAATTTCTCTTTCTCTCTCTCCTCTCTTTATAATCTCTCCTTCTCTTTCTAACTCGCTAACTCCACTCGCTCGCTCGCTCAATCCCCCCACCACCCCCACTCAATCATCTTTGTACTGTCTTCCTTCCTAATCCTCCCTCCCCTTCTCTCTGTTGTTGTTTCTCGAGATCTAGACGACTGTATGATGATGATGATGATGATGACGATGACGACGACGTTTATGACGATTAATATGACGACAATGAATAATATCGCTCTTGTTGTGTTTTTATTGTTATTCTTGGTATTTGTTTCCGCCATTTTTAAGACCTTTAATATTATATTTCCTTCCCACTCCAGGCTATTTCTTTTTCTTTTCTTCTTTTTTCTCTTTTTTCTTTTTTTTTTTTTGTTTTCTTTTTTTGTTTTTTTCCTTTGTTTCCTTGACTTCTTCCACTATATATCATCGAATACGTCACGGAATATTTCTACATCACATTTCATTCTGTTTCGATTCAAAGGATCTTCGACTTGGTCCAAACACATCGTATAATATGGCACACGCGCACGTCGAAATTTCGAATTTTTCCCGCCATTTCTTCATCTCCCTACCGACACCTCTAGTTCTATTTTCTTTCCTACGATTTTTCTTCTTTTCCCTTTTTTCTTTTTTTTCCTTTTTTTTTTTTTTTTTCTTTTTAATTTCGTTCGTTTAACTCCGTAAATTTTTTATATCTCTTTTTTTCTCTTTCTTTTTACGATATCGTTACGATACAATTAAAAAATTTGAATTTTCTCGCTATCTTTTTTTGTTACACCTTCCTTGAACGCGCTCCAAGATAATAAAAAAAAAAATAATTTACATTTAATTTTTACATTTCTTCACGTATTACTTTGTAATACCGTTTAATTTTCTCTCTCTTCCTCTCTCTCTCTCTCTCTCTCTCTCTCTCTCTCTCCCTCTTTTTTTTTCTCTCGTAGATCGATCAACATCGGATTTCTTAACGCGTTCTCGAACTTTAAAAATTTACTCGGCGTTTTTTTTCACGGCGATCAACGAGACCGCGTGAAAATAATTACTCTCTCCCCATAATTTAAATTCCCTATTATATTCCATCGTTATACTTCGATTGATCCTCACATAATCTCCAATTCATAGTTATGAAAAGATTTTATAATCGTTCGCAATTCTTCGTTGCTTTACATTTTAGAATTTTTCGCGATGTCACGAACGTTTCGAAATATTTCCATATCGTTGTTTGATATCTTATATCTATAATTTCATAACGCGTCTGCGTTAATATCTATTTGATTACGATTATCGTGTTTCGATTAAAAAATTTTCCCGCCACTCTTTACACCGCCATTCGAACGTTCTAAAATATTTCTCATTGGTCGTTTGACTTTCTTTCTATAATTTCATATCGCATCAATTGCTGCTATTGCAAGGGTTAACATAAAAAAAAGAAAAAAAAAGAAAAAAAAAAGAAAGAAAGAAAGAAAGAAAGAAAGAACTTGGTGTTTACGATTTTTAAAAAACAAACACACACACACACAAATAGAGGCACAGAAAACACATTAATACGAACTTCCCTACAAATTTCCCTCCTTCTTGTCGATAGAATTCGATACAATCTTCTTATTTGTCTTATCTGTTTTGATCTATTGAATTCGAATAATACTAGTGGTGTCTCTCTTCTTTCTCTCTCACTTTTTTCTTGAGTATCTCTTTTCGATATCCTTTAGTTTTTTCTTTTTATATCTTTTCCATTTCATTTTCCTTCTCATCGAATTATCGTTATAAACCATAGAAGAAAATTGACAGTACGTATGAACGACGAGGATGGAAATGAACGCGAATTGACAGGAGGATTAACGCGAGTCTCAACATTGGAAAAGTTTGTTGTAATACGTTGTAAAAGGAGAAGGAAGAGGAGGAAGAGGAGGAGAAGGAAGAAGAGGAGGAGGACGAAGAGAAGGAGGGAGGAGGCGCTAACGAGCACGCTTCAACGTGAAAGCTCGTGTAAATACTTGTTGCTCCTGTATTGTCGAAAGTAGGGCTTGCGAGTGAGCTTAAAGGACCGACCTTCTTGTAACGGCAGCACCATTTATGCGTCCTCTTCCTTCTCCTCCTTTCTCCTCCTTTCTCCTCCTTTCTCCTTCATCTCTTTCTCTCGTGAGATACGATACGACGACGAAGGGTTTCATCGTTCATTCTCTCTTTCTTATAGACACATACGCTATCTATCTATCTATCTCTTTCCGACTCATTAAAAAACGATCAATATATTATTTATTAGATTAAATCGTTTCACATTATATATAAAAAGTTGTTGGTACCTTACACGTACATGCGTATATACATATGTATGTATATATGTATCTCTCTTTCTCTCTTTGGACATATGTGTGTGTGTGTGTGTGTGTGTGTGTGTGTGTGAGAAGAGCACGTGTTCGTTAACAGCTGTATAACCGTGTAAATTATGCGTGTATGCGTTTAGCTATGCGTCAGATTGAAAAATGATGAAATTATACCTACCGATAAAGTAATAGGTGTAACGCATATACGATTGTTATAAACCTGTTGACGTATAATCAATGAATTCATTATTTCTATACGTAAATGATTCCATGTTTCTCTGTTATATGACTAAAGCGGAACACTAACAATAAGTCGTATGATTTCATTAGCGATTAAAATGATACCCATTCGTTTGTGATTGAAAATGGATAAATTATTAACGTAGGATTTACGATAACTTTTCATACTTGTATTATTCCATTTCTTTTTTTTTTTCTTTCCTTTCCTTTTCTTTTTTTTTCTTTTTTTTTTTTTTTTTTTTTTTCTTTCGCTTTCGTTCGCTCTAGTCTCATCCCGTTTGGCTTTCTCCTTGTCTCTTCTATTTCTATTTTCTTTTCTTTATTTCTTTTTTTTTCTTTTTTTTCTTTTTTTAAAGTCAAATTACATTGGACACGACGATTACGTTATGTCCATGTATTTATGTTATTACATTTTCACATTATATTCGTATGTTCGTGTGTACGGGATATATTGCAAGTTTATCATTAAAATTATTACCATTTTTTACATGAATATCTAATATTTTTATATTATATAGTATAATTTATAAATATTATATAAATTTATAATAATAAAAAACGAATGTGAAAATATGAAATATACTTTAAAAGGAAAGAAA